TCATCATTAAAGAAAAAAGAAAAAAGAAAAAGAAATTAAAATCATAAACGCCCCTTTCCCCTTTTTTGTACAAATTTATTAAACGTATTTTTTACGTATTTTTTTTATTTATTTGGTAGTTTCAATAAATTCAGAGAGTTGGAATTTTTTTTTTGTCTTATGTAACACAAATGCAGGGATCATACATTATAACTCCCCCAACCTTAAAATATTTTATTATTAACTAATCCAAGTTTTTTTCTTTATTTTAAAAAAAAAAAAAATTACCCACATGATCTCAATTTGATTGGTCCTCTTTTTTAAAATGTTATCATACGATAAATATTGGTCACATTTTATTATGTAATTTTTTTTTTTTATTGTACTTTTGTATTTTAGTATCGAAAAGTATGAAAATACCGAAAAAAAAAGGTGACAAAAAAAAGTATCACATTAATTAAAGTAATATTTGTATTGGTTTATCCATTCTACCTACAAATCGCACATTTATTAAAATTCCGTAAGTTACATGTAGATTAAAAAAGGGAGGTTTATTATTATATATTATTTATTATATTTAACTCAAAGATTTACCGAGAATTATAATAATAAAATTATATAATCAAGATTAAATAATTAAATATTAATGATATGATCTTATAATCTAAAATTAATTAAGAGAAAACCCGAAACCGAAGTACTTACTTCATGAGATGATTAACTTTGAAAGTTAATAATAAAAGATATTTACTACTACAGTTGGTATAATTACTACCACAGTTGGTATTATTACAACTACAGTTGGACTACTATAGTAAATATTATTATAACTTCTATAGTAGGAACTGCTATTACAACTAAAGCAGTATTACTACAACTAAAACAGTATTACTTCAACTAAAACAGTATTACTTCAACTAGAACAGTATTACTACAATTACTACAGTATCTAACAATATTACTACAATTATTACAATTATTACAATTACTATAATTATTACAATTACTACAATTATTACAATTACTATAATTACTACAATTACTATAATTACTATGTACTTACTACTATACTCCGTTATTTACTACAATATTACTATTATTACAATTTACTACTGTTACTACTATTACTACTATTGATTATATAATAAAGAACAATGGAATATTAATGATATCATAGAGGACCAATTTCGGTTTCATATTATATCCTTTAATGAAATTATTTCTTTATATTTTCATATATGGACTTTCATTTTTTCATTTAATGACCGCATGTACTAACTTGAATTGTATACTTTGAAAATTTTATTGGTTTAAAAAAAAATTATAAATTCTTTAAAAGAGAGAACAATGAAAAATTATAATTCAAAACAAATCGTACCAACCATTTTATTCAAATGTAACACAATAATAATTTATTAAAATTATTATAGGGTCACTTGGTATAAACAAATTTTAAACAAATCAAGTTTCAAATGATCAAATGTTTTTATTTGTTAATGATTGGATATAAGTTTTTTCTTTTGGAAGTTTTTATTTTTTGTACTTTTTGTAATTTTGTTTCATTCTAATTACCTGGTAATCTAGTTAAAACTTTGTAAAACCCGTTGTAACAAGTTCAAAATCAATATTGCATAATCTTTTATTACGATTACGATTTTAATAATTAGGTACATATTATTATTATTATTATTATTAATAAATAGTTTTGAAATTTTCCCATAAATATTAAACAATATAATTATGTCAATTTTCAGGGTTGAAATAATTTAGGCGTTCTTGGCTTATTTGGCTAATGTTTGTCATACTTCAATACTTTCATACTTTTTTTTACAAAAAGAAAAAAATTTTTTTTTTTTTTTTTTTTTTTTTTAATGACTCATGAGAGGCTAAAGGGAAGAACATGATACATACATTCAATCAAATCAAAGAATATTCATTAAGTAATAACCTAAAATAATAATATTTTATAAGCAGCTATCGGCAGGGATATTAAAAAGTAAAAAAATGTGATTATTACATAAAAAAAAGAGATAAGATAAAAATAATAGATAATCTATTTGATGACTTGTATATATAATATATATATAATATATTTAATATAATACCGGTATTTACATATATCACCGGCTTACCTTAAAATAAAAAATGTACAATATATCACCGCCCAGTATATAATATTTGTACATTATTATTATTTTTTTCATTATTCATTATTCCTACTAAATAAAGTATTTTTGCGTGAACGGGATTTAAAATTAGTAAACTTACATGTTCGGGATTATATGCGTTTCGGCTTAGATTTAAATTTGTATTAAAAATTTTTTTAAATTAGTAAGATATTTATTAATTTGGTTCGGCCCTAACTTATTATGTTAGAAGGCAGTGTTATACCTGTTAGCCCATAGGAGATCATCCTCCGGTTTAAAAAAGAATACATATTTATGTTCATACATTTAATGGTCAACTTTTTTGTAAAACATTTATTTCAATTAATGTATGACAATTTCGCTTACAAACTGCATGATCCTTGCATATAAATTTTTTTTTTCAAAATACATCATATCATATGTCATTTTTAACACGTTTGCTTTATGTTATTAAGTATTTCTTCGCGTGATTGATCTACTTAAAAGGCCAAGATTTGATTTAACTGATTTCCCCAAACCTGTCAAATGTCAAAAAAATTTTTTTTATACCCTGGGCTTACTAATTGCATGTTAATAATGAAATTTCCCTATGATTTCAACTTTTCTTCTATTTCTATAAAAGATGTTTTATTAAAAAATAAAAATTTTTTTTTTTTTTT